ACGCTTAGAGTAACTTTATTTGTAAATTGTAACCGTAACCTATGTGTTTTATTGTAAATTTTATTTTAGTTTTAGTTCACAATAGAAAATCATTTTAGTCACGAGTATGTTGTACATAGATTGGAATTGTGTGTAATTTTTTTTGTTATAAACTTGATAATTTTATATAGTTGTAATTATAATATAATTATTATAATAATATAATTATAATAATATAATTATAATAATTATAATAATATAATTATAATAATTATAATAATATAATTATATTATTATAATATAATAATAATAATAATAATAATAATTATTGAATATGAAGATTAGAATATAAGGATATTGTATAATATAAGAATAATATAAGGATCAGAAGTAGTCGCAAAAAATTTGAAAGTCTACAACAGTACATATTTTTGTACCCTACTGGTAATTTGAAGCCTTCGACATGGAAACATTTCCAAAAATCGCTAATAGATATAGTAGAACCTGTCGATACGTGTAAAATAATATGGAAAAAATACAAAATAAAAAAAACGTATGCAACTGACGGCGAGTAATAGATTTTTTGATTTTATAGAATTTTTGAGTTATAGATATAGGCACTAATGTTTTGCATAATTTTAAAAAAATAAACGGTAAACACAACACGCCGTTCGTAACTAATAAGGCGGCAGTAACTTGGGCAGTAACTTGGGCAGTAACTAAAAAAAATTCCATTTTAACATTATTATAATTTATACTTGCTTAATTTCTTATTAAATATTATTAAATATCACTTTATTACTTTCATCGAAATAACGAAAAATTCACTTTAACCGGGATAAAACTACTTAGAAAATCGATAAATACGATAAAGATTAACGGGAGAGTAAATTTTATTTTACATCTGAAAAAGTAAATAACCGCCTTATTTATCGCGCAAAGCGACTACTTGCTTTTTACTCGTGCACAGATTGTTAATAGACATAACCATTTTTACAGGGAATATTACACAATACCGAAGAAAGTATTAAATATTACATTTAGTTGATCGTCTTCGAGTAAGGGAGATATCGAAAATATTAATTGTCACATTTTTCAGAATCAATTTAGATTCTCGAATAGACGATTTTGGCCAATTATTTCCTGTTAATGAAGATTCTACCTTAAGTAGTAATAACAATAATAATTACGGTTATGATTTAAGTTGTTGATTTAAATGATTTAATTAATAGTAATTAAGTTTTAATTAACATGTAATTAAGTTGTCGATTTAAATGATTTAAGATTACTTAAATTTAAATTTATTTATCAAGTCGTTGTTTTTTTATTCGTTAAGCACAAAAAGACAATATATCTATTAACGCGTCTTTCCTCGATGAATCTGTACCGTCTATACCAAATTCTTCAGTAGAAAGCGAGATTATGTTATAGATTTTTTTAAATTTCTTCCTTTACAAAATTATATCTATGGCGGCTATTTTCCCAAAATTGTGTATATAATGAATTTGCGCGTATAATTATAATTTGTGTACGAGTTGTTATCGACCAGTCTCGTTTTTAAGTAATCGAGCGGGTTATGGTAGAAAATCGCTCTGTGTACGTATGCGTATATTTAATAACATATGCTTTTTATATAACACAAATGTATNTAAATATAATATTTATATATAAATATATATAATATATTTATATATAAATATATATATAATATATTTATAGATTGTATAAATGTTGTAATCGCTCAAATGGCTGAAATGAAAATAAAAATAGATAATAGAATAATTGAAAACCGAGAAATAATAATGCAAATGATAAGTCGTTCCACTTCTGAAAATCAGACCACACATGTTCGAGAAAAAGAATTTAATACGTATTGTTTAAAACGTTTTCCTATTACTACCGGTGTAAAAATGTTTCAAAAAATAAACGACTTACTTGTAAACCCGACATTTTTTTTGACTTATGGTAACAATTCGATTTATAAATCGAATACTACTATTGTTTACGCGACTACTACTACTATTGTTATGTTTTAAAATATAATAAAAGAAATAAACGTTACAGTTAAAAAAAAAATTAAGTTCATTCGGAGGAAATGATTTTTCCGATGCTATTAAAAATATTAAATATTAAAAATTAATATATTAAAAAAATTATCCAATGATCAATTGTCATGTCGACGAATATCTTTATGTGCATCATCAAATGGAAAGAAAGAAAATTTCAAAAAATCACAATTTTTCGGCTTACTTTGTGGTTAGAAAAAAATGTATTATAATTATTATACCATCAAATACATATATTTGTATTTGATGGTATAATAATAAAGTGAATTTTATAAAAAAAAAATTATTTTTAGACTCGAGTAAAAAATGTCACGGAATTTCAAGTAAAAGAGCCTCTGTTGGTAGAGTTGGTTGAAACGCGGAAATGATAGATGTAAGAGGTAAACCTACTTTTTTTATTTATATTATATTTGTTTATTAAATATTTTAGATATTTCTAGTAGTTATATTTCACAGGAATATATATTAAATATTAATATATTAATATTAATATATTAAATATTGTAACTTTTTGTGCTCGAGCAAAAGAATCTTGCAAATAGTAAATTACTATTACGTTTAATATTACTATTACTATTACTATTACGATTAACTTTATGCATTTGCGCACAATGGACCAACAGGTCTGAGTGCATGGGCATTATATGTCCACCTCAATAATAACTAAACTTGACGCATTAATTTTATTTTGGCATTTTTTATTTGACTTTGTATTTTTTAACTATTGACTTTATTTCATCGTGAAACTTTTTTTTAATTAATTTACTTTATTTAATTTTATAATTATTTCTATTACTGTTATACAATTATAAAAAAGGTACAAGTTAAATCTATTTAAACCATCATCTTTGTTGTCATGTATAATCTTAATTTTGAAAGTATATTTTACGTATTAGTTATATGGTATATATATAATATATATACATATATATATATATATACATATATGGTGTATATATAATATATATACATATATATATATATACATATATGGTATATATATATATATATATAATGCATAATATATACCATATTATGCATTGTGAAATTACAATCGTTTTATCTTTATTTTTCACACGCCATCGATCGATATTAGACGTTTTTGATGTATTGATATTTTAATAAACCATAGCCTTATAATTACAAGTTGATATATTTAATTATTATTAATAATCCATTATTAACGGTCAAATATACGTTTCCTAGAGGTTCCTGTATATATATACACAGGGTGATTCTTATATCACACTGTCCACTTAATATTTCTCAAAATAATAATAATTTTGCACAATTTTATTTTTGAATTTTTTTAGTTACACAAAAAGCGTAGCATTTTAGTTACGTATAATTGTGCTATTATTTATTTATTTATCTATCTATATATATATATATATATTATAAATCATCCTAAATAGGTCGTGCGCGGACTGTGTCCTAGGGCGTGACATTAGCAAGTTTCTACGACGTCCCGAGTTTGTCTCGATTTGGTCAAAAGACCGTTTATAGAACGACGAGTCTAAGACGGTCGTCGGATGTCTCGCGAACACTGCTACTCGCGACGTCTCTAAAACGTTGCAGTGTCGTTGGGGAACTAGCCTTTTACCTTAACCCGAACACGGTAAACTAAAGAAAAATTATTATCAATACACCCTCGTGGCTCATGTTATCATTATCTCATGTTATCATTATCTCGTGTTATCATTATCTCATGTCATCATTATCTCATGTTATCATTATCTCGTGTTATCATTATCTCATGTTATCATTATCTCATGTTATTATTATATTATAGGTGGACCAGTGTTGACCAGTGTTGACCAGTGTCCCCCGAGTTAAATCAGAAATCTGGTGTAATATTTGTACACGGCGTGTAATTTCACTTACGATTTTCAATACTCGGTTTATAGCGTCATATCGTGTAGAAATATATATAATTTTCTCCGTTCTCGGTACGTGTTAAGCGGGGGGGGGATACCTTACACTAAATATTCTACGTCTTATCGAGACGACACGAAGAAATTTTTTATTTGTTATTGTAATATAGAATTTATTATTTGTTATGAATTCTTATTATAATATAAACACTATTTGCCAATCTATAATATTACGACTGTTTTGATTTAAACGCTATTATTAATCGAGATACAAACCGGACGGGTGTAAAAACAAAACGTTTCGATTTTATCAGACCGAGCGTTATTATAAAATTTACTTTTTAAGATTACTAAAAGATTACTTTTTAAAGATTACTTTTAGTAATCGAGGAGTTAAAATAATTAAAAATAATTAATATTTAATAAATTAAAGTTAACACACTTTGCCGTTGTTATAAGTTATGTCGAACATTTCAAATAAATATTAGTCGAGCATTAGAAATATTTAGTTCCAATACAATCATTGTCATATCAAAACGCTCGTTGATGTTCCATTTAAAATATTACAAAAGGTTATTTTGTTGTGGCTCCACCACACAGGTCCGCCACAATTTTTAGAAGGGCGAATAAGCCATATAATCACTAATATTACAAATCTACCTGACAAAACGTCACCGCAAACATAATATTACATATAATCACTGATAATAAATATCTACCTGACAAAACGTCACCGCAAACATAATATTACACGTTCCCCCCGACCTAGAATTTGTAAATTAATTTAAACTTAAAATCGTGATTTCCTATTTTGTTTGCCTCGTTAATTTGGGGGGCGTCGTAATCGTTTAAGTTTAAGTATTATAATTTTTAAAATGTGTTAATACGGCAGTTTTACTTTAGTCGCGGAAATCGATACTAATTTTATTAAGGTTCTTATATATCTGTAACTCGTACGTTTTTTAAATTATAGTATTCGACTATTGCTTTTAGTTTTTTTGGCCGTTACGCTTTTGTATTCTGAATACAAATAGGTGATTTTTTTAAATAATTACGGCTGTCGTATAACAGAGTATAAAAATTTGGATGGCATTATCGATTCAGGAAGCGTTTTAAATAGTAATAAATCATCAAGTGATGATGGTGTAAACGTGCAAACTAATTGTAATAAGTTTTCTTCGCATTCATCTCTAACTGAATCGAATTTCAAGTATGGAACGTATAAACCAATAGAATGGACTATAGAATAGCATAGCATATAGCTATAGAATAGCAGGTAGTATACTAATAAAATTTTATTCTTCGAGTATGACAAATTATAAAAATAATACGTATTACTTTTAGTCTACTATGAGCTTGATGTATTCAACTAATGGTGGTGGTCGTTTTATTTTTGACTGATGCAAAAGTAAACTGATAGAGGTTGTTATTAAAGAACTTAGACGACACAAGGTAATCTATCTAACGATGCTCGAAATACGCTTACGAGACTTAATAAATTATTTATTTAAAGACAAAGCTCGGTAATATACACTGTGTTATTTTAAATATTTATTATAAATTTTAAATATGTATGGGTGCAAGTTAAAATAGTTAACGTGCATGAAAACTTATAGTTGTTATATAAAATAATCATAGACCTTTGATTTTATGCTAATACGTCCAATTCGTTTATTTATTTATTTAATATAAATATTGAAATAGATAAAACCCAATTGCGCTTCACCAAACTTTTGCCGATTTAAGTTTGGTGAAGCGCAATTGGGTTTTTTCTGACTTGGATGAGATTAAAAAACACTGGAAATAAGAATGGCTGAAACTTGCGGTTTATAATAGCATTATAACTGGTCGTCATTTGTCTAAAAAATTTTAAATCGTGGCCTATTTAATGTAGTCCTAAAGGATATAGTCCGGTAAGAAAAAAAAAATGATAAATATTAGTAATTAATATTGTTGTCCGTGTGTATTTTTTTTACAATGCGATAGTAATCAATGTATGTTTTAATATTAAAATTAAAATTTACGTAATATTTCTATCAACTCGTCAGCAACTTTTTTTACTTTTTATTTTCAAATATGATACTGGTTGAAACTATAAAAAAAAAAAAAAAAGCAATATGTTGTGTCTACTTATTATTTATTTATTTATTTATTTATTTATTTATATTACTTTATATTTTTGTTTTAGGTTTTTTGAAGATTTTTTTATGAAATATCCAGAAACAAAAAACTATCGACATAATTGGCTGTACTTTATTAAAAAAGTGGACTTTGTTTTCAAACGACTTATTGAGCTCGCATAGAAATTTAGTGAAAGATAGTGAAAATGCTAACGACTTATTAAAACAACTCGTCGATACTATACGACTATTTAGTAAGATTATTGTATGATTATTAATTGTCTATCCTGTGACTTGTATGCACCATTATTTAAAAAGTTAAAAATATCAAAAAATATTATGTTGATATTGTGTAATTTAACCAGAGACATAATTATAAGTCCTGGGATTTAAACTAGTCTTTATAAAAAAAAATTTTATGTCATTTCATCGACTTATTATGAATAATCCTCAGGCTTGCTGTATTTGAAATACTCATATATAATATAGTTATATTAATATAGTATATATTAATATACTATATTAATATAGTTATTATATAATACTCATATATTAATATAGTTCACAGCTCTGCTATGTATTAATCCGTTAATTTCAATTGTGTTTTCATTTATATTTTGTTTAATCTATATGTTCATTAGTATATTTCCTTACGAAAATGAAATCATAAAATATGTTATTTTACGGGGTACGATTTAATTAAGAAAGTAATTTTCTTAATTAAATCGTGGTGGTTAATGATTAATAATAACTTATAGATTTTGAACTAAAAGAAATCGATATTTTAAATTTTTAAAATCAATATTTTTATTTTTTGTTTAATTGAGTAGTGCGTGATAAGCGAGTCACTGTGGTTCGTCTATTTTAACATGTAAAATTAAAACGTATGAATCTCCAAAATCTGTTTTAAATTATTTGTTGTATATATATATATATATATATATATATATATATATTTGTTGTATTAGTTGTTATTACTATTTTAATTTTTGATACATATCATATTTTAATTGATTTTTATTTAGATACTAGAACAAGCAACGCATTGAAACTTGTACTAATTCCATATCTAGTATTAACTAAAACTCAAATGAAAACAAACAAAAAGTCTGGGAAATCATCGCTAGTTGAATGCGTTTCGTCTTTTGTTATAAATGTTTCAGTATAAATAAACGAAAAGATGCACACCTTTAAGTTCATAACGCATTAAGTGTTTTAATTTTATATGAACTTGTGTCACATTCAATACATGTCGTATTGAAATTATTTATATAAATATTCATTTTCGGAATTTAAACGATTCAGAATTCAAAATAATTTACCCGACTCAAATCCGACCATTAAAAGAGTTTTGGGTACCGGTAAAAACTACGAGACCCTTAAATATATTTTATAACTGTTATACGGTTGTATATTTAAAAATGTATATCTTATTGTTTATTAATAATATTAAAACTGCCATAACTTTTTCAAAAATTAACAAATAAAAATATTTGCTTGTATTGAAACCACCTTAGATATTTCCCTTTCGTTCGATATCATTTTTTTGAAAATCTAACGCTTAACCTGCTCGTCGGGGGGGATTTAAAATAGTAACTTTTTTACAAAAAAATAACTTTTTCAACTTAATTTTTGAAAATGTCCCGGAAATACAGCGTGTCCTTTAAACACGTATAAAATTAAAGCTTATTTTATGTACTACAAAATGAAGAAAAAAAAATTTGTCCCGACGACCCATCTCCTACACGCAAACGGCTGCCGTATTGAAAAATATGCGCTATTTTCGTATTAAAATTATGGGTTTTGTATTTTTATTTCGATACGACGAGTCGATGATGTTGATTTTGCAATTATCCGTAAATTTTTTCTAAAAATTAAACGCCGTCTACGGATTTGCATGGAAGCGTTTCTCGCGATACCGATTTTAATCGCTGTCGGATTAAATCTATACCGGACCCAACTATGCAACGTCTCCATTGTGCCGCGACCACGCTGTGCTACCGTTTTTTTTTTTTTATTATTATTATTATTTATTTTGAATAATAAAACTAATTTTTTTATTACAAACTAGATTTCACCTAGCTGGGGGGACTTCGTGCCAGACCAGTATCTTACAACTCGGGGCGTTAGTCCCTTCGGGCTATCTTTTTAAACAAGTCACTAATTCTAGTAGAGTTCGGTTACGAACATTGTACGATTTGTGTTGTGTATAGGAAGTATAACTACTACAAAGGCAGATTACCAGAACATTATTCCCACTTGTAAATTAAATAATAAATAATAATCTACTTATTATTATTCCAAGCAACAGATGGACAAAAGAAATCTTAATTATCACTAAAAACAACCTTTAAATACCGCGTGTTATTAGTAATAATATTACTCTACCAACACTATATTTTATTATTAATTTTATTATTATTATTATTATTATTTTATTTTTATTATAATTTTTCATAAATTTTTTTATTAAGTTATAGTTTTTTATTTAATTTTGTATAAAAATTATATAAATTTTTTATTCTTTTATCAATTAGCATCATTAACGTTGCATTGACGATTTCGTGTCTTTGAGCATTTAGTCGCTTTTATTGGTTCGAGTTTCAATTTAACTTAAAAATTTATTAACACTTAAATATGTCTCTAAAATATTAAATAAATGAAATTGCTCGCTATGTATGCATTGAATTTCCTGATTTTTATCTAAATAATGTATCACGGAATAGTATACGCGTAACAATAACAATAGAAGTAACGATTGTAATAAAGCTGTTAAATGTATTGAAAAATAAAAATTAAGCTTTGTACAAAAAAATTGAATTAATTAGATGTGGTAGAGAAATAAATATTTGATCTAAAAGGAATGACTCGAGTGGTTTATTAGATACGTCTAATGTGTGGTGATGGCATGTTTAAGAAAATATAACTATACTAGCAAAGATTTTGAACATTGTAGTAAATCGACCCATTAAAAATGTGTGCGAGTATTTAAAAATTGCCACTGACAACAAAAACCTTTTCGGGGTCCTAGATAAATTCAGAAATATATTGAATATAGACCGTTCATATTAGTTCTTTGAAAAACGTGTCGGACATTTTCAAAACTAATTCGTCTAATACTAAAAATTAGATAAGAATCTAGAATACAAGAACTTGGCTTTAGTTAATAATTATGATGTATTCTGCTCAAAAACTGTAGGTTCTGTAGGTTGTGTGTAATAAAGTAATTATAGTTAATGATAGTAATATTCTGTTGTATTTATATGGAACAATCTTTTTGTTCTGACTTATATTTTTAGTAGTTCAATAATAACGCAAAATGTAGTAGTTAATAAAGATATAATCAATCAAAATAAAAACATATGAAATATTGATACGCTTAAAAAACGGATAAATAAATAATACACAAAATAAAAAAACTTAAAGTCGCAAACGTGTACCACGCGGAAAGAGGATTACCTTCGGTACTCCCGAGGTCTTCTCTTTCTTCCTTTCTTCAATTCATTCCGTTTCATCTTGTATACTAAAATATTTTGTTTGTCTTTTTATAAAATTCATATAGTAATCGTTTTCAAAAAGGTTTATAAATATTTACTTCATGATCTAGTAACAATAATTCGGGGAATTACAATTAATCCAAACATTACAAAAGTGTTCTACCTCTAGGTTTACAAATAATAGACTATATTATATTTTAGCAATAATAGATCGAGAGATTCATAATGCAATAATTTTCAAATATGTTTATAAATATTTACTTCATGATCCAGTAACAATAATTCGGGGAATTACAATTAATCCAAACATTGCAAAAGTGTTCTACCTCTAGGTTTACAAATAATAGACTATATTATATTTTAGCAATAATAGATCGAGAGATTCATAATGCAATAATTTTCAAATATGTTTATAAATATTTACTTCATGATCCAGTAACAATAATTCGGGGAATTACAATTAATCCAAACATTGCAAAAGTGTTCTACCTCTAGGTTTACAAATAATAGACTATATTATATTTTAGCAATAATAGATCAAGAGATTCATAATGCAATAATTTTCAAATATGTTTATAAATATTTACTTCATGATCTAGTAACAATAATTCGGGGAATTACAATTAATCCAAACATTGCAAAAGTGTTCTACCTCTAGGTTTACAAATAATATAATAAAATTATAATATAATTACAAATAATAGACTATATTATATTTTAGCAATAATAGATCAAGAGATTCATAGTTAAACCAAACATTAGAAAAATGCTTTGTTTTCAGTTTTATAAAATAATGACCTATATTACAATTCCAACTCCCAAGTTGAGCGATTTTACTCCAAACAATAAAGAAACGAATCAGCAAAGTACTCTAATAAAACGAGTCTGTAGTTTAAACGAGTAAGTCACTCCTATATAATATGGCCCCGTTAAAACGTACAAACGTACAGCAACTCCTATTAAGAGCGCCTATTATAAAAAGACACCCGTTTAGCCCGGCGTAGTTTTACCACATGAAAGTTGTAATGTTGCAGAATTTATACAAGTTTTTTTTTTTTTTATATATAAATCTTATCAATTGGATGCGTGCGAGTAGGTGTAAAGTATTTTGAAAATTGAAACGATTGTTTCCCCTGAAACTTATTTAAAAGACAATAGCATTATAATAAATGAACGTGTTGATATTGAAAATATTAAAAAAAATCAGAGTCAAATTAATTCAATTCAAAATGATATCAGTAAGATATCATTTAAAGAATGTGATATGGAAGTTGAAAAATGTTCCAACAAATCAATACCAACTCCGGGTTGTAATAAAACTCCAGATAATAGTATTATTAGAAATAATTTGTACGGTAACAAATTACCAAAAAATTTGAATTACTATAGAAATGTTGAACACAAAAACAGAGTAAGTGTCATTTGTTTGGAGGTAGAGTGAAACATCTGAACTATTTGGTTGGAACTTATTACCATATTATACCTAATACCTTGTGTACCTTACAAACATTAGATATAGAAGATTTTATTTGTCTCTTAATGGAAGAAACTGTTTGAGTAACTTTATAATAGATATTTGTTTGGCTATTAAAGCCCCTAAAAAAACATTATTATTATAAATACATATATAAATATTATAAATATTATTATATGAATAGATGCGCACACCTTCAAGTTCATAATTCACCAAGTATTTTAGTTTTATATGACCTTAAACTTGTGTCACATTCACATGTCGTATTGAAATTATTTATATAAATATTCATTTTCGGAATTTAAACGATTCAGAATTCAAAATAATTTACCTGACTCAAATCCAACCATTAAAAGAGTTTTGGGTACCGGTAAAATCTACGAGACCCTTAAATATATTTTATAACTGTTATACGGTTGTATATTTAAAAATGTATATTTTATTGCAATTAATTTGTGAATGTATTTTGTACTTACAATTTTAACTAAGTAAATGATTCTATTATATGTCATGTAATAATCTATATATTTTAAAATATCTTTACTACCCCAATCCAACCTATTATTATTATTATTATTATCTAATAAAGTTTCCTTTTCTATTTTAACTAAATGAATGTTTCTATAGATTCTATATATAATGTTACATAGAAATACACCAAGTATTTCTATGTGAAATTTAGTTTATAGATGTGTGATAATTTTGGCTTTGACACCACCACCATTCAGAATTAAACAAAATAAGTATTTGTTAAGCGTTGATAATGGTAACATTTTCCGAATACATATTCGCAATTTTTTAATCATTTTTTTGTGGCTTTTGGAGTTAAATATTTTAATATACTTTTAATTTTAAATAATATTTGCCACGAGTGATCAATTTTTATTATTAAAAATACCAATTACAAATAAAGAATTTCTTGATGTCGTCTCGATAAGACGTAGAATATTTAGTGTAAGGTATCCCCCCCACTTAACACCTACTGAGAATGGAGAAAAATATATATTTCTACACGATATGACGCTATAAACCGAGTATTCAAAATCATAAGTGAAATTACACGCCAAGTCAACAATATATTATGATGTAATATACAATGCATAGATAATATTATCTATGTATGATCATATACAAGTTTTTTAATAAGAGCGTTAGTATGCTTGAAATATAGTTGTTTCAATAGTATTAATTGTTAAAATGAAAGAATAACAACGAATATTATAATTATGATAACATTTAATTATAATAATTAAATTAAGTGTAAATTAAATTTAAATAGTTTGCGACATTATATAAATAATTAATTTTTTTACCATTATACTGGCATTGTGCAATGAAGGATTAGGCTAAAATAATTATAATTTTTCGAAAAGGCGTTAATAATAAATTTATATATCAAGAGTCTGGCGGCGAAATGTCCTAGACCCCCGTCTCAGCACCTCTTCAGTATTTTGCCAGCCCTCTCACTATGCTGCAATCTCCTACGTACTCGGTAGATTTATCCAACACCCTAAGAGGTAAAATTGGTCCAAATAATCAATTTTTAACGTCTCCAATTTCCCATATTAATTCACGGTATACAAAAAATAATTATTCCTATGCGAAAGCACAATATCGCAATGATAATTCATTTATAATTATTTATTTCAACAATATTTTGTTATTGGACATTGTTTTAATTTTAATTCGACAAGTTCGTTTAACTTTTTTTGTTACTAATGTTTATTGTATATATATAACGTACATAAATATTGCACAACAAAAAAAAAAGGTTTAATTTAATTTTTAATTGTTTTTATAAACACTTATACAAGACTTAAAGGAGTGTTGTTAATATAAATATTTATTTATTTATATAAACATGTATATTTATTTTTTAATACCATCCTTATTTGGTAAATTGAATAATAATAATAGAAAATCTTAATTTTAATCGTCTTAATTAAATACATCATCAAATTTATTTTTTCAGAAAAAATATGTGATATAGGGGATAACATTTATTAGTAAAATTATAAAAAGACGAACCGAAATATGATTCTCGAGAGAAGAACAGAACAGAACTATACAAATATATTGTGAATTAATAAATATAAATAAAAAAAAATTGTCGTAATACACTTGTCACTATCACAATATGAAATAACAGTGTGGGCTACTCTGTTTGTGTCCACAATAATGGTTTCTCATTTAATCTTTTCATTTAAGACTATTAACACTTTTATTTATAATTTATATTTATATGCTTTAAATAACATGATTGTCGATAACGTGATAAATAACTTAGGGAAGTATTTAACAAACGCATACTGTCGTTTAGTTATATTATAATGCACACGATTCGGTCACGAGTCAATTATTAGTCACCTTTAAAAATCACTTTTTAGGACATATATAAATTATACTTGTCAGCTCTTTTTACTCTTAACTTAATAAAAAAACACAATATGTTAACCCTATTTTAGAATGTAAAAACAAACTATATTTTAACGTTTATATTAACGTTGTATAAAAACGATTTGTATATTATCCGCGTGTATTAATTTATATGTTTCATATTTTATGCTTATTTAACAATAAACGATAACATTACAATAATGACACAATGGTGATTGTTCGAGGATAAAAATATACTATAAAAGGCACAGTAATCCTTCTCGGTCAGGGCTGAGTGTTGAGGCCTTATAAAATTCTCTTTAATATAATATCAAATGCTAAGTCGATAAACGCCGTGGTCGCCCACAATTATCCCCGAGTTGGTACGTCGGTGTATACATTAGTAAGTGTATTTATGCTCCCACCGGCCGTCAGATCTTTGTTGTATGACTGGCGGCGAATGGGTTTAATGTATGCTTTTTGGTATTATATGTCTACATCTATAAAAAGTGTACATCAGTATCATCTATACATCAGTATAAAAAGCGTTATACCGTATAATATATTGGTAACCGAAATTTGTTAGTGATAAGAAGTTGGTGGACCATGAATTGGTAGCTTCATCAACATGTCTATTCCACGGAGTTTATTACTCTATGGTTTATTCTCTGTGATATCATCAAATAAGGGTTCTTTAATACCCAAAATAGATATGTAAGAGTTACATTTGGCGACACTGACGTATTAAATTTAATATTTTATAAAATACCTTTATTTCGCACAAACATAAACACAAACATAACGAGGAATCGCACAAACACAATGCCCGGACTTGAATTTTGAATTTTTTGTGTAAAATGTCGCAGTCTGACTCTCCAAGTTCGGAACTATCTACTACGTTCAATTCTGTTGACGACGAATTGAAAGTAAAAACCGTCTTATTTAATAATATGATATATTATATAATAATAACATTGTGATATAGTATACAGATATTATGTTCTCTTAAGGTGATTGTAAATAAATGGGTGAATATATTCAAAGACGATCCGAAAATTGGAATGTTGAAATTGTTTACGGTTTTAATAGAAGATTGTTTAAATATTAAAATTTCAGCTACTGACCTTAATGTTGATGAAATATATCATCAAGTTATAGATTGTTTAAAAATAATGGTGTTTATTTTATCCAATTAACACCTTGTAAATTATATTATTAATGAATAAAACTTTTTCTCTAGAGTTATGAAAAGACATTACATTCGACTGAATCAATCAAAAAGTCAATATTTACAAAAAAATCTTCTGAATTTTTAATCTTGGTTTTTAAAAATTATTCAAATTTATTTTTTTTATCCAGTGAAAATGTAAAATATTTCATATTCCTTGAAGAGATTTTTTTAAAAATGTCACTGTCGGATATTACGAGTTTAAGATTTTTAGCAATAAACTTTAGTAATGCATTTTTATTATAATTATTCTGCTTATATTTAACTTTTTCTTCAATAAGTTTTCATTAGGGGAAGTGTGAAAAACTATATAGCTCAGCGCAACATAATAGTTACCTATTATGTTATAGTGCATAGGTACTATCTAATAGTACCTATGCGCTATGGCATAACGCATTACAAACTGAGCTATGTCGACTTTTTTTTTTTCTTTTTAATTTAATTTATTTAATTTAATAAAATAAATAAAATTTATCAAATTTCAATAGTATCTTTTTAGGTCTAAAAATTATTACTGGAATGCTGCAATTTGAATGTGGAGTTATGTTAAATAATCAAATTTCTAAGTTTTTGGATGAATTTGTAACAAAGAAATTCAAGTTAGTATGTTATTTACATACTATTTATTTTTATTTTTATTTTACATGTATACTTAATATATTATTTCACCTATATATTACATTAATATATATATCATTGTATTATACAATCTTAAGGTAAAAACAAATGGTCAAATATTTTTGTAGCTCTTAGTTATCTTAGTAGTATTCATTTGCATTTGTTGGTAAATAACTGTATATTTGGAATTTTAATGTATATCCTAATTATATTTAATGATTTTTTAATTAAAATTTTTGGACAAATTAGCTAAAAAAATATTTATCATTAAGTATCTACCGACCCAATTTATTTTGATTGGATATACTTGATTGGATATTCCATATTATAATGGTATATATTAATGTAATTACATTATATTGTTAATATATTGTTTCATATAGATATAAAGTTTCACTTGGGTATCCGATGGACTAGTATTAAAAACTTTTGAATATGTGTATTTTGTATACGTCAGTATCTATAAAATATACTTGTATAATATTTATATATTAAATTGTTTTTTCAGTTTCTTTTCAAGTAATAAAAGTATTTTTAACTTTTTTCAGTTTATGTTTTTAGTGCATCATTTTCTAGTCTTAATAATAATACTGATATTGTATTTCTAAAATTTTAAATGATAATAATTCAAATTATCATTGATGCAAACTAATAAATTAAGAATAATAATCATTTATAATATATTCCTAAACTATGTGTCATGAAATATCTTGAAAAATATTTGGGTTCATCATCAATTAATATTTTAACAACAATAATGGATCGTTGAGATGCTTTATATAAAAAATTAAAAAAAATTTTCTGATATTTCTTATACTATAAACTCGTTTCAATTGGCAACACAATTATTTTTATATCATTAGATTTGTTAAGTTGAAAAAAATTTTGTTTTAAATTTTTTACTTTTGTAACTTGTTGAAAATAAAAAAGTCATCTAAATTTTATGGATGATCAAAAAATAAATATGCCTATTTTTAAAAGACTGCATCAGTATAATGTCATGTACCGATAATCCCTACTGGTTTATAGTTGAGCAATAAATTGTATATCCTATCATATTAGAAATTAGAAGTATTTATTAGTTTATTTATTAGTTATTATTTATTAGTTATTATTTATTTATTAGTGTATTTATAGTCTTTTAAAAGTAAGTACTCTTTTTTTCTGATTACCCCTAATCTTTAAACAGCTGCTGTAACTTGTTGAAAATCAAATAGTGTAAAACAAAAAATTGAATTCAATTGAACAAATATAAATAATCGCGTTGTAAATAGAAAGTTTATATGCGTTTAGAGTATAAGGGATACAAACAGAACATAAATTTTTTGCGAGGAAACTCAAACAACTCGACAAAGAAGAAATAATTAATGATTAACTGTAATATTTTTGAAGATATTTCATTGGGCATAGTTAAAGAATCACCTTGTACATATTGAAACTAACATGTGTTGCATCTAATCGAGTTTCCTTTTATAACAGAAAGAATTCAAGGAATTTTTAAAACTAATAAAAAGTTAATAAGCACGCTACAGATAAAATTGTATTATGGTATAATTAATGTTTTTATAAAATTTGTAAAAACAAAAATATTAATATATTTATATTATCGCATATTCTATAACACTCATTGTGGGTCCATTCATTTATATTTGTATGAAATTACAGATTTGTGAAAAAAGAAATTTAAGTGACATTATTAAAATTTTTATTTTGTTTTCTTTATAAATAATTTCTATTGAGAAACGAATAGACTCTCTTCTTCTTTTTCCTTGCTTTAATCTCGACTACTCGAGGTTGGCCAAAGGAACAAATAGACTTTAACGTAATATAATTTAAGCTCAAAAAAAGAATGTTTTTTGTAGAGAAATTAAAATAGTGTTGCTGAAATTAATGGTTTTGTGTTGTAATACTTAAAACAGTAATAATATCAGTTATGTATTGTTATATTTTGCTTCTATAAATCTACAACATGTTAATTTTACAGTAGTAGTTGTATTATTAGACTACTTATCAATTGTAGGATAACTTATAAAATATGTATATTTCCATTTTTATTAATTTTACAGGAGAGCTTAACTAAAAAAGTAATCACATTTAACATCTTACGAAAACTATTATTTAATTCTACACTATTTTTATTGTAAGAATAGATATTAACTTAATGTTGACATTTTTAGAACTAACATATTTTCATTTAACCTTTTAAAAATAATAAAATTTCCCTGCTTAAATCTCGGCTACATTTAGTAGCTAATAGTTTATCATTTATAATTTGCATAATCATTATGATTATTAATAGATGCTTATTTTGATTTTAAAATATCATTTACCTTTTTTCAGTAAATTTGTGAAAAATCACTATCTAACTGATTAAATTCTTTTAAATAAGTTACTCTGTATATTCTATTATGTAGTAAAATTATAAATTAAATAATATATTTAAACTGATTTCTTGCCATTTAGAGAGTTCAATGAAAATTTATATAATTTTCCATTTAAACAATCACATACGATTGTTTAAAAATTTATATCGTATAACGAATAATCACAGTTTCTTAAATACCACACATTGAAACATATAATATTTTTTTTTGATATTTTGTTAAATGTTATTTATAAATATTTTCGAAATGTTTAATGTTAGCGATGTTTCTTATATAATCAGAGAAGCTTTATTGATAGAACTAGAAAAATGGATTAAAATCAATCCCACATATTTTATTAATAAATATTGGACGAGTATATATATTACAACAGGTGACAAAAGTTTATGCGTACAAAAAGTTGCACTGCAGGTAATACGATTGTCATATAATTATCAAAGTATTTAATGTAATTTAGTTTTAAAATGGTATTAACAGTTCTATTTGACTTGCAGATTTGTAAAAGCATCTTGGCTTTTCATTCTAGTAATCCAAATATCCATCTCCTAGCTGATAAATTACTGCAAGTTCTCATCAATCTATTACTTTCTAAAAACGAAGAAATAGCTTTACTCGCTTATAACATGTATGAAATTTTACAAAAGTATGTATTATATTTTTTTTTTTTATTTTTACATTTAATATTAATTTAAAAATTTAATAACGTGTGTGTGTAATCTTAGTTGTGATACAAATGATGAACATTTATCGAAACTAGAATCAATAGCGTTAGAATTAATATTTTCTGAAAACGTAAACATTGCTCGTCACGCTGCACAACATTTTGTGATCAATTATGTAAATAAACAAACAAATTCAATTGATCGATTGAAATTTATTTCAGTATTTTTGAGCGGTATTCCAGAAAATGTACCTCCTATTGTAATAGCTTATTTTGCTAATGCGATTTTTGAGTTCTGCGCTGAACTTCAGAATTTTCAACTATTTGCTGAAATATTAGATAATGAAAATCATCTAAATGAAAATGAAAAATGTATAATGACAACTCTCTTTGTGTATATTGTCAGAAAGTTAATAACCGGTAATGATCCTGAACAAAACTCTTGCTACATTGGTTACACGAAAGACGTGAGTAATTATCTTTATTCTTTAAATCAAATTAAATTTTACTGTAATATCGATTTGAAAAATTTATCTAATATTATGGATTTAAATAACGTATCATAAAGTTAAGTATAGGCATATGATGTTGTTGTATATGTTAATGTAGTACAAAAAATAGAAAATATTAAGTCAATTCTTAATTTTCAAATTTCACAAAATATAACTTGTTGATTTCTTTTTTTTTTTTTTATGTGAAAACTTTCTTGGTTTTCAAGTATTTTTCGGTGAAATCAACTTGAAAAATGAATATTAGATAACGTACTCCATCATTAATTCATTATAATGATAGAAAGAATTCATATAGTAATTGTGGATTGTGTTTTTTTATCGATTGAAATTAACTCAAAAATTTGAAATTTAAGTGTAACTTTATTAGATATACTTTCTGTATTGCCAGTTAATGTATTTATAAACACACAACAATGTGCCTTACTACCATTCTTTAAGAAACATATTGATAAAGTCATAAATGATGCATATCAACATTTTTAAAAAACAATTAGCTACCTATATTTGTAATTCCTTATGTAATATACATGTATATTAATTTAGAAATTTGAAATTTAAATGTTTTATATCTAATAAATAAATAAAATTATGTAAAAATTCTAATGCCAATTGCTATTAAAATTAAACCTCAATCGTGTTCCATAAATTGTATTCCTATTTGGACAACAAAGTTGACACTCTTACAAGGCATAATATGGGATGAACTTATAAAGTATTACATAGTTAATAATTCAAGAATAATAAATAATTATAAATATGTAATTTAAGGTAACCAAAAATAAAAAAATGTTCGGAATTATTTTCATTCTGTGAGTAATAAATTGGATTATGATAAAAAAATCAACCTGTAAATTGTGTATTTTCATGTATAAAAACTTAAGATGTTAATAGGAAAATAATGATGTAAAATTTTTGTATATCGGTAATACTGAGCTCTACTGAAAGTGGACAATTTAAATTGAGTAGGCATTTAAGATATACATTTGAAAACATCACTTTGATGAATCAAATCTGATTAAAGGTAACAAAAAAAAAAAAATATTCAAAATTATTTTTATTCTGTGAGTAATTAAAGTGAGTTATGATAAAAAAATCAACACAATTTTGGTCGTGCTTACTACCTCCATAAATTGTGCAAGTTACATTTATGGTTATATAAAAATATTTTTAAAGTCGGAAGAAATTATATTTAGCATTTCAAAATTATTAGATAAATATGTTAGACATATATTAGGGTGACAGTGGTAATGCAGACATTTTTGACGTGCAATGCCTCGAGTTCAAAACTTGGATAACTTGGTTTATTTGACGAGTAAAAAATCAGTTTGGTGATTAGAGTCGCCATCTTTCTTTTAGGCGATATACTAAACACCCGTTCTGGAATATTAATGTATAAAAAAACCTCCTCTTTAAAGGAAGTAGCTATAGCCCATAATGGGGTTAAAAAGCAAAAAAATCCCAAGATTTTATTTTATGATTTTATTTTATTAAAATATTATTTTGCAATTGTACCATTGTATATTAAAAAATAAGCTAAATTGTAAAATACAGTTCTTTTAATAGTTTTTATAAATTTTTATATAGTGTGCAGATTTTGATGTACTAATATTATTTTAGGTCAAAGAAAGTAAACCCGATAACGAAAAAAAGAAAGAATTTACTACTGTCATGTTACCGTGCATATTAAATCAATTAAAGAACTGTAAAAAACCTACTTACGAATTTTCCTTATGGGCCCTAATGCAGTATATTGATTATACTTGTAATCTATCGGTAAGATATTTATCTGAACAAATAAATTGAGTTTTAATTAAAATTGTATTATTACTTGAAAAAATATGTTATGAAGTAGAATCTCAATTGTGGATGGTTGTTTTTTGCACAACCCCGTTCAATTTAATATTTGATGCTGGATACGTAATATATATTATTAATGTTCCATTTATTTTCTTATGATAAATAACCAAAAAATAAAATTTAACACATAGGATAATTTCAATTTTAGGCTGTAAAATGTTTAAAACTATTTTATTTTCTTTCTCGTTTTGTCCTGAATTATTTGTGTATTTTTAATTACAGATTTTGCATGATGTATTATTGCAAGTGGGTTCATCATTTTTCAAATGGACTATTCCTGGTTTACTAGAATTGATATCGAGAAGTATTTATTTAATGACTTTATCCTTAAAAGGTCAAGAATATAATCTCGTCATAAATAACCTAAAAAACTCAACTTATAGAATCATTGATGTTTTAAAATCTGGAATTGAAAACTCACAAGATGACGTAAGAGACTTTTTCAATTCAATTAAAAATAGTCTATTACAGGCTATGTGATAAGAAAAGTCATTTTAATTGTAATTCTACGGCAAAATAAAATAATCACGCTATAAAAAAATAATGCAAACAAACTCGGCTTTTTTAAAATATAAATATCAGAATAATTATCTAAAGTAAAAACTGAAGGTGAGGAGTAGGTGCTGCAAATTTATAATTAAACACTTCCTGGCTGTCGTATTCAAACACGCTAATAACTATTGAAATTCAAATCCAAAAGTTATTACTGAACAGTCATATTATCTTAATTAGATCAATATCTATTGACTAAGCAAGTTAATTACGGGTGTTGCTATTTAAGAAGTTGACATTGTTGTAATGTATAAGGAATTTTGTTGATTGAAAAATTAAACTAAAAGAAACAAAAAAATAATTAATATTATTTTTATTTTTTGATTCATTAAGTTATTTAAGTGAATTACTGTGTATATTATAATGTTAAAAGACCGCTATATTCATATTTATATAATAACATTATATTAAACACTTCAGAGAAAACAGGCTTTTTTAACCTGTTAGTTGAGAAATAATACAAAATTAAGTGTAAAATTGATAAAGTTCAAGCAAAGGGGAATAAAAGAATTTAAGACTTTTTTCGTTTATATATTAATTTTATTAAAAATTCCTCCACATTTAATCCTAAAAATATCATGTGTCATCTGTAATTTGTTTTTCTGTACGAGAACTTTCTTAAAACGGTTTGATACTATAGATAGATTTGATGAATTCAATTTTTATAAGTTATCATTTTCTTTTATTTATTTTTAACTTGAAGCAAATTTAAAAAAATATTTTACCATAATACGTTTTTTTAATGTATTTATGTTATTTATCTATATAGTTATGTATTTATCTCATATATTCAATTTCTACTGAATTAATGATGGATCAACATGTCATAAAAAAAAAAAAAAAAACACAAATTTAATTTAATTATTTAATTGATGATAAAACTTTGAAAAAATTGTTACAATTAATCCCATATTTTCGTTTTAATAAAATTATTCCAAAAATTTCTACTCGACTTCTTTTCATATTCAAATTTTAATTAAAAAATTTAATAATTTTTTGAAAAATATGTGTGTCAAACAAAGTATAATATTATTTACAATATATATATATATATTGTATTATTCATATAAACGAAAGTTATGATAAAACACTTACAAACAAAAACATATGAATTAAATGAACACGACAGCAAAAGCATCATGTCTTATTCGACTCACAACATACATGACATTATTTAATTCAAGTTTCCCCCGTGTTAATACTGGATGACATCACTGTCTATCTACAAATGCCCGAAGTGGTATCGTCTAGACATCAATGGTATTAATCGATATATATTTTTTCAAAAAATGTTACTTATAGTATAGTGAAAAGGCTCAAACTAAAAAAAATTTCAAAATACTATCTATGCAAATTAGCCTTAAAGTATTTTATGATAATAATTTTACTCACTGCCAGATTAAAATCTACTCGTTTTCACTGTATACAGTCTCTATTTCATTGTATATTAACTCGTTAAAAACCATTAATTTATTAAATTCCGTTAAAATTTTTTTTTGAAAATTAATTTAAAGCTATATTGTAACATAAATTAAAATTTATATGACCAAAATATTATTAATTTAATAGTTCTTAATATTTTTCCATCTTCATTAACACTAGTATAGCTATTCAGAAAGAAGATTAAAGTTGAATTGAATAACAGTTATAATAATAACCGGTAGCACAGTGTAGACATGCCATAGTTGGGGGACAAGTATAGATGATATCTGACAGTGACTAAAATCACTATCATAGAAAACGTTTCAATGCAAATCTGTAGATAGTGTTTAATTTTAAGAAATTTGTGGATTATTCCAAAAGCAAAATGAATTCCTATTACCTTATTTATATCCGGATTACGAGTTTTATGATATACAAGTATAATATATAAATAAATATTTAATAAATTTCTTCAACTTCGATGGCCATTTGCGCATAAAAGATAGGTCGTTGGGACAAATTTTTTTTTTTAACTTATAGTTTGTAACAAGCTTTAATATAATATTTAATTTATGTTTAAAAGATGCAGTATTTTCGGAAAATTTTCAAAACTTTAGTAGAAAAAATTGACTTTTATGAAAAATTTGCTATTTTGAACACCCCTTACGGGAGGTAGGTAAATAGGTTTTCAATAAATTTATACCAAATGAAAGGGAAATGCGTAAGGTATTTATATAAAAAAAATTACTAAAATGAAACTATATAAAAGTATAATTTTTGTGCACTTTTAAATTAAAACGGTAGTATAGTATATAAATATAGTGTACAATAAAGTATATATAAAGTAAAGTTCTACTTTCTATATGAAATTTTTGAACTTCCCTGTATGTAGAAAAATGGTCCAATTTAAATATAAAGTATGTCAAATGAAAGAGGTATATATATATATAGTATTTATCATAAAAAAATTGTATTGATCCATACATTTTTTAAAAAGTCATAGAAATTGAGAATTTTATCACAAAATTAGCATATTTATGAATATGGTAGCCATCTTCACTGTGAAGACAAGTTCAGAGGTCAATTTTTTTATTCAAACTAAAGTATTTTACATAATCTTTAATTTAAGATTTATATATATATAAAAGTTTCAGTATTTCCGGAATATTTCCAAAAGTTGTTATCTTAAATTACCCCTCGTGGGCAGTTAAATAGTCAAATTTTAAAACAATTTATATGGAATGAAAAATTTAGGCTCTTATATAAAAAAATTATTTTAATTTGTTCGTTTTTGAAAAAGTTATAGCAGTTTTAAGAAAAAAATGTCAAAAATTAGCGATTTTAAAAATTGTAATTTTTTTTCGAGATTTTCTCTATTTACAGGGAACGAGGGAAATTTTTTTATTATTTAATGGCAATATTTTCAAATAGATATACGATTTGTGATCTTTTGACGTATTGTTGAAATAAATTGGTCAGGGTAGAGCTGAAAAAATGTCGTTAGACAAAAAACACTTCATATTAAAATTAAAACCTTCTCGGTGTCACATTAAAGCCAAAATGAATTTTTACATTTGGATTTATTAATGAGATAGTTTTTCAGTTCATAATTAATTTTTTTCTTGCGCTTAATAAAATTAGCTGGTATAATACTCATTAAAGAACATTAGCATTAAAAATGTTTTAGATGTTAACTAGCATTTCATGTCAAGAAATATCTCTTATACGATTATGGAGTCTAGCAAAGTACAATAAGTTACCAGAAGAAATTAATTTATTAGAGTATTTATCTTATTATATACCAGAAATGAAGGATTCTCAAAATAACTTAGTTTTTTCGGTCAGAACAGTCAAAATTCATTATTTTAATTTTAAACATTATAATTTATTAATGACATATTTGTTTTAGATGTTTGGATTTTATGCTTATTTTGAAATACTTAAGAGAAATATGATAAATGAAATTGATTTTTCATTAGAAAATTGCATAGACCATCAATGTTTACAATTTATGGAATCAATGTTCAGTGTTTTAAAATCTTTTGATAAACAACTCTTTGAATTAAATGAAACGGTTTGATTTTCAAAAATTTAATAATCAAATATTATATGTAGTGTTTATAATGCAAGGGGTTTAAGTGACATTTTTAAATAAAATTATAGACAGACAGAAAATTTATAAATCTACTTTATAGTCAAAAATTATAAAAAAGAAAAGGCATAATTATGTATTTGTTTTTTAATAAATCTTTATTTTTCATTTTCTTTTACTATACTAGGCTTTGGCTAGCTGGGGCTCTATGAGCCCTATGCACCTTTGGCGCGTAAGCCTCTTCTGGCCGTCATCATAAGTAGGCCACTGATTCCTGTAGGAGTACCCAGCTACACTGTCCTTGGATAAGTGTTTTGCAAAAAAAATATTACATCAGAATCAGTGTAACAAAAATATATTAAAAATTTAATTATTAAAATCGGGAAATTTCAAAAAGAGAATATAGTAAAACGTATTGAGTATAAGGTTGACGTTTGTTAATGAGGTATACACCACCGGTATATACAAAAATTATTAATATTTTAATTATAATAATTGTGTTTATATTGTAGAATAATAACAAAAATATTCAGCAGGTTATTATACAACAAGGGACTATGTAAAATATTTAATTTTAATAAAAATATTGACAACTGTTATTTCACGTTGGACATCATAATTATCATAAATGGATTCCAATTTAAACGATAAACTCATAGACTCGTTTATCATATATGAGAAAAATAAGATTATTAATAATGTACTGTTCTGATAATGAATGTACAAACTTATATAATTATAACTGTCTTGAAATTTATATATGTTATAATATAATAATATGTTATATATAATATAATATATATATTTATATAATATATCATATTTCTATATAACATATAACATTCCTTGATAATATATATATATATAAAATATAGTGCTATGAGTAAATGAAAAATAGTGTCCTAATAAAATTACGTATTACACAAATTAAGGTTCAGAATAAACTCATGTGCAAAAATGAGTCAATGCTCATATTAAAACCGTGAGCGTGAACTTAAAAAATAAATCTCGTAAAACGGTGAATAATGAACGCATTTAATTGATTTTTTTATCATATCTCAGAAATGTCATTGGGCGGTGAAAATTTCAAACCTTAAGTCTTAAAACGCTGGCATCAGGGAGCGTTTTTTCTTGAAAATGGTCTAAATTTTAAAATGCTTGCGGGCCAGTGGTATAAATTTTCCGACATTTGCCAATAATGTTCCCGAAGTCTGGTAACCGAGAAAAAAAAAATTTTGAAAATCTGAGCACGCTAAGTAATTTTTTAAAAGAAGTGTTTTTTTCCTTGTTCTATTATATAAGATATAGATAAAAGAAAACCTTAAACTCAATTTTCATCAAATAATGTGTTATTAATATATTTTGTGTTCTGAGTTCTTCATATAAACACTCTGATTTTTATAGGAAATAACTTTTCAAAATAATTATTTATGCAATTTCGAGAAACCACTTTGTTAATGTTTCATTATACATAATGTTTTAAAATATTTTTTAGTCTTTTTTAATTATTGGAAATTGTTTACAAGTCAGAAAATCAATTAATAAACCATTTGATATTAATACTAATCAAGATCTCGCATTATCAATGTTTATTTACTATGTATGCGAAAATCATGGTAATTATTTTACTACTTGAATTTTTTTTAATTTTCTAATAATTTTTGTTTTAGAATTAAATGGTGATATTAATACTGTCAAATTGATTGAATTATTTTTCCGTTTAATTCAAGAACGTTTAATAAAAATTAGACACATGGTAACTGTAATGCAATTTATTCAAAAGGTAGGTTTTTATAAAATAAATTAAAAATGTTATTTGGTTAATAATAAAATTTATTTTAGGATATATTTGAAAAAGCATTGGGGCCAGTTTTTAATTTTTTCTGTAACGCTGAAACTGGAAATGAGTTATGTCAAGTTATTGAAATATTTTTAATTTATATGTTTGAAAATATTATATGTCAGAGTGAAAATTATGAAAATATAACGTTTAAAGATTTAGTAAGTTAATTAATCATATATTAGTAGATTTTTAGAGTAATAAATTTATAATGCCTTTCCATTAACAACTCTAATATTATTAAAGTTATGCCTATTGATGCACATTATATGACAATTATTTTTTTTTAAATAATTAAAATAAAGTTATTTTTCATACTATACATTTTCATATACTTTTCTAGAATTAATAATATAATTAATGATTGGATTTATATGCAATTATAAATTTTGTTTTATATACTTTGAAGAAACCCAAGATTGTGCAAGTTAGTCATAGAAATATATAGTAGTAATAAAGTATATTTTATTTTAGTTATGGATGGCTGATGTGGGAGATTGTGGTGTCAAGTGGAAGTTTAGGATAAGGGAGGCCGACCCCTAGTAGTTGGGATAAAGGTGAGGAAAAAGATGAAGTTGGGAATAAACCTTTTAATCCTCCCAAATTTATATCCCCAGTTACAACACATTATTATGTTTTCAAGCTAATTAATAAACATTAGTACTAGCTGTTTATGTGTTTGGAATTAGTGTATGAAAACGTTTTGTTAATTTAATTTTTAACTTCAAAAACATTTTGAGGGAGGGTTGAACCCAAACCACCTTCTAAATAAGGTACTAGGTTATTTAATGTTAATACTGATAAGATTAATTCAAGGTTTAACTACCAAATATTAAACAAATATCAATGACTTATGCTTTGAGAATAATATTTTTCATCTCTTAGATTAAATTATATGCTTACATTTTAATAATAGGTGATAATGGCTTCAAAAATATCACAGCTTATTAACCAGTGTACTGATACTACAGGAAAACGATTGGTATCCACTAATGTTCTTCGGCATGGTATTCAATACGCATTAAATGATACATTAGAATATCCATTTAAACAATTTTTTTGGGTTCTGGCTTCTTTATGTAATTCGTTAACTTCATATGATGCAGAAAAATTGTAAGTAGAAGGTGTATAATATTAAAATAATGAGAAGATTTGATAATGATAATGTGAGAATTAATAATTGATAATGATAAGATTTGATTAATTGTTCAATTAAAATAATTAAATGTTATTTTCTTCAACACGATAGTGTAAAATAATATTATATGTCTCATAATTTCACTGAACATAATATTATCATTGAGTATAAATAGTTGTAATATTATTATGCATAATTTTTCAGAGCTGATTATTTTATTGAAAATCCATATATAAAAGAAATGATTGATATTGGTGAGAAGCATGTTTTAACTTTTTTATATAAATTACGTGAAAAATTCTCTGAAGATGATTCATCATCCGATAAAACTTGTTAAAAAATATTTGTAAACATTTTAATTTCAAATAAAATTATTCTTTCAAATGATTATAATTATTAATCTTTAATTTACTTATTCCAATCATTCTATGAATATACAGCCTTAAGGCTGTAGTAAACAGGAATCATAAATGAATATGTGAATATCTTTGTAAAAATATAATATATATAAATGTATAAACTTAACCAACTCTTTTTATTTATTTATTTATTTTATTTCAAATACCACTATTTCCTAATAGAAAAATTAATAACTAAGTTATAAATTAAAACTATAGAGTTGTAATAGAAAAAAATAATTGCTATTTATAATTTTTCTTATAATATACAATTTATTATCAAACATTTTGACTATACTAAGTTTGATAAATTATTAATAGAATATATATTTATATCAGCGCTTCACAAATTTAGAAAAAAAAAGGTTTAATTATTTCATTTTTACTTAAATTAAGCTTAAGCATAATTTTCTGTTTTTTTTTAAATTTGTTTTGATTCTTAAAGATAAATTATTAATAAAATAAATTATAAATAAGATATTCTCATACATCAATTACACTAATATCTTAATACGTGAGAATTAATTTGTTCAGAGTAAATAGGTAAACTAAGGACTCCAAAATTTAACCAATAAATAAATGTTTGATTTCAAAGCTTATTAATTAAGAACATTGATAATGAGGGTGTAAAAATACAAAAATCAATTATTTGTTAATTTTTTTTATTCAAGAACTATTTATAATAAAGATAATATAATTAAAATTTGTACAATATATTTAAATGAACAGGGATGTTAGTAAATAAATTATTTCATAGGGATCGATTATCGAATATCAGTATAATTTCGTTATCGGCAGTTATTTTGGTAAAATTTCTTTCAAATATAAATTCAAATTGATTGAATTGAAATTATATTTTTTGTAGCGATTTCTATATCCATACGGGTCTATCATGAATAATATAATTTTAAGTTTAATTTTACATAGACCAATTCTATCTGTTTCATTGTTTCGTAAATTCTAATATTTGAATGTAATTAATGTGCAATACATAAAAGTTATTATAATAGAGTAAAAACATATCTTAACTTTTATAAATTGATTATTATAAGTTACATGAATACTTCCAACCATACGGAAAATACATTGGAAAACTAATAAAGTAATCATCCGAATAGAATAAAATATGTCCTAGTAATGATGAAATTGAAATTGTGTACAATATTTTCCAAGTTAGTCGCCACCGCTTTTTAACAAAGTTTTTTTCTCGTTTTTCTGTATTATTGTTGTTCGTGTTTTCGACCGATATAGTTTTTGGATATATTGCTTCAAAGTTTTCCATGTTATTAACACTATGATTAGCTACATAAGAGTTGGAATCTAGCCACTGAAATAATCAACTTTTATTTTAAATTCACATTGTACCCTCTCACTAATCATACCTAGTCAGTGGCAGATCTGACACTCCTAGGCATTCATTTTTTTGGTATACTCTTAGTATTTTTGACGAATGATAACAAAATTAAAAATAAGATACCATATCATAATTCTACCATATTTTATATTTTTTAATGAAAATATGCATTACGTATAATTTAACAATTAAATACACTAAAATTTAGTCATGATAAAGTAAAACTAAAAATCTTAATGAATATAAATTAATTAAATAATGATTTTAGATACTTGTTAATAATGAAAATTAAATAAATGAAGATAAAGAGGCGTGGATATAGATTTATAATGAAAATGACTAATTGCTAATTAGTTAGGTTCGCTGTTTTATATTGATCTATTTTTAACATTTTTACCTTTTGTCTATTAACTGAAGAAATTTCATTATCATCAGCATCAATTAAATCGTACCTTTCTGATGGTGAAGAATTAATTTCTGCTGTAAAATTATTTTCATTGTATTCTACTTCATCAGTACCGTCTATTGTAACGTCGGTTGCATTACGAGTTTTGCAGGAAATAGTTTGAATGTTTTGTTGGTTATATTCACCAAGTTGTTTTTCAGTGATTTTTGGTTCAAAATCGTTTTGATCAATATTTACGTTTTGCAAATAATTATTTAAATCTTGACTTCCTCGAATCAAGGAATTACTATTTTCATTCAATATTATTTGATTATGCGTTGGGCTAATTGGTCGTATTAGTGGACAAGTATTAGTAGACAAAATATAAGTATCACCACGGTTGACGGGCTGTACTTTCCAATTGTTATATGTTATTGGAATTTTCAGATGATCTAAATTAGGAGAACTATTATGTTAAAATATTATTATTGTACCCTTTTTTTTTTAATCGCTTTATATGTCTCATTGAGGACGATCGCGACCTCTTCTAAGAGGAAGTTTCTTAACCCTGTATACTCCGGCATTAATTGTTAGATCATTGCCAGAGAAAAGTATGGCAACTCCGATCACTGATCGGAGTTACCATCCCTGATAAATTGATGAACTGATAACTCGTTCAGCAAACGGAGTAGCCTGTGGTCGAGTCTCGAACCCGAGACATCGTGCATCAGGCACTGACGCGTAAGCGACTGGGCCACAACGTCACTCCAATTATTATTGTATCTAGTAATTGATTATTAAGCCGTAAAAGATACTCAATAATTAAAAATTAATCGGGTATAAAAATAAAAATAAATTATTTTTAGCAATTAATTAAAATTGTCAAAATATTCAATTAATTTACAAATCTAAGTATAAAATGAAATAGATAAAAACATTTTATCTACAAGATGATTCTTTTAGCACTAGCCATTCGACTACTTTTAAAATAATAATTATATTAAAAGAACTATTTTTGGTTTCATATATATTTCTTAATTTATTAGTCATTGGTTACTTTTTTGATTTAGACCTTATACCTTATAAGGGTGTCAACTTTTGTTAATGGCAACGTACATATTTAACTATCCTATAAAGGAAACAATTATATAATTAACAAAATAACTGTTTAATAACAAAATTTGACCAATTATTTTGGAAGTTATTAAAATGTAAACGTATTGACTATCGTTGAAGCATAGGTATTTTTCGGTGCACCATTCCTCCTGTTTAGCCATAAAAATGTTAATAATTTTCAAAGTATTGGTCTAAAAGTTGTTGACGACTAATCATTTGCTTAATTAATCATTTTTTATTGTATAAATTAGTTAAATATGTATACTGCCGTTAAAAAATTTTTAACCCTTATAAAGTATAGGAGAGAAGGAGAAATTGTAGCCACGTTAGCAAGAACATAAACTTCAGGCAAAGTATTAGTCAAAAAATCTTACAATTACTAATAAATGACTATATGTAAGATATAAAATAATAATGTTTCAAATTTTAAAAGTTGTTTGTTAACAATAACATACTTTTGATTACAGGTATAGAAGAATAGTGTTTTGATTTTAAAATAGTTTTTTGGATTTCTTCAGCAGTTTTTGATTTTTGTTCAAACATTTTTTCATGTAATTTCAATGCATCTAATGAATTAAGTATTCTTACAGGTATAAATGACTTAAAAGATTTAGGTTTATTGGTTTTGTCGAAATTAGTTGTTTCTCGAGATTTTTTATGATATTGTTCTGAGGACATGACGTTAGCATATGTCTTGTTGTACACGGGTATTTTTGATTTATTGAAACGATGAGATAGTTTATTGAAATCTAATATATTTTATAGAATACCATTAAGTAATGCATCTAATTCATAACTATTAATTATTATTTTATGTTATAATAACATAAAATATGTTTAAATTATTTTTAGTAATTGAGTGGGTTATGATTAAAAAACCCAGCACAGTGGGACGCGGCACTGTGGGGACGTGACATAGTTGGGTCCAGTATAAATTTAATCTGACAGTAATTAAAATATCACTATCATAAAAAACGCTTCGATGCAAATCTATAGATAGTGTTTAATTTTAAAAAAAATGGTGGATTATTCCAAAAGCTACATTATCTCCTATTTCCTTATGTATATCCTGATTTCAATTTTTATGATTTATAAATGTAATATATGAATAAATATCTATTATAGCAATTAAATACAGTATCAAATTGATATTTAGTAATTTAGTATTGTAAGTTTTTCGGAAAATTTATAAAAAATTATTAAGTAGATATTACTTTTATGACAAAACGTATATAAAAGTTGAATGTCTTAATGCAATACTTAAAAAAAAAATTGTTTATAATTTATAAATAAATTTTCTGGTCTACAAAAAATGTTCAGCCTAGACCAAAATATAATAAAGTATATTGCATAAGCTTTAATTTAATATATATATAAAAGTGTTAGTATTTCCGGAACACTTTAAAAAGTTGTCATTTTGAATACCTCCCTGTGGGCAGGTGTAAAGGGTCAGATTTATAAAAAAAAATAAACAAAATGATAGGTACCTCATGTATCTATAAACAAAAAATTGTATTGCTCCATTCATTTTTCAAAAAGTTATGGTGGATTTAAGTAAAATAATTGAAAAAATGTCGAAAATTAGCGATTATAAAGTTTGTAATTTTTTTGGAGATTTCCCCCATTTATGTTGAACTAGGGAAATGTTTTCAATTTTTGAGGGTAATTTCTTCGAATTGATACGATTTGTGATCTTTTTATGTATCGTTGAAAGAAATCGGTTCGGTGAGAGCTGAAAAAAGTGGTAGCAGACACAAAAAAATAAATAAAACACATCATAGTAAAATTAACACCTTCTTAGCTTCGCATTGAAGCTAATTAAATTTGTTTAATGTTGCCCTATTTCCCATTTACAACCCTAATCAAGAAGCAATCAGGGGGATATAAGATAATTTGAGCATCTCCAGACACAAAATAAACGCTATCAATAATGTATATTACAACTTAAATTTTGATAATCTAAAAATTCAAATAAATTCTCTCTCTCTCTCTCTCTCTCTCTCTATATATATATATATATATATTTAATTGAAAAAAAAAAGAGTTAATTAGTATCCCGGTAATATTTTTAAAAGTAATAAACCAAACCCATAAATTATCTTGAATGTTATCGTTATTTAGATTTATTAACTAAATTTTTTATTTGCAAATATTGAATTTCTGTTATATTAATAACATACTAAACCAGAAAAATTTTATTTAAATTAGTTTACAATAATTAAAATTTGAACCCTAAATTGATCACATATTCTGTTGATAATATGAATTCACACCTCGTGATAAAAATTCATTATTTTATTACCATGAAATTTTATTGGTTTCTTATTTAAAGTATGAGTTGTGGTCATTTTGTCAGTAATAATGCTCAATTCCTGTATTTCTAATTGTTTCTGTTCATTTAGTCTTATTTCATTTTTTGAAATATTCATTTTTGCTGGTAAAAATATTATAGATTTATCTAACAAATAATTGTGGTATAATACCAGTTTTTATATTCTTAAGTCTTTATTAAAAAAAAATTGATTTGAAACCTATATTTTTTGAACGGCGTTTCTTTATGACAACCGAAAAATTATTTTAGCCAACAGACGTCATTGTTAATATTGTTTAAGGATTTATACATAGATTAATTAAAAAGTGAAATTTGATAAAAATAAAAATTTAAATAGTTGAAATATAAATATTATAAATATTTCTAAGTAAAACTTTTTGCTTCGATGCGAAGATGAGAAGGTATTAATTTTACTATGTGTTTTTTTTTTGTGTCTGTTACCACTTTTTTTCAGCTCTCACCGAACCGATTTCAAATCTGCAATCAGATTTTTCTATTATCTCATTTTTGAGATTATTATTAATTTATATAAAACGAGTAAATACTTATAAAAATTACGCACAGTCTCGCAAAACCAATACCATTTTAGTTTTGCATAGAGACTAAAAAAAAATCAATCAAAAAGTTAATAAATATAATCAACAAGCGTATTATAAAATTTGATTATAATTGTAAAAATTCATTGTTAAATTTAGATGAAACTAAAACTCATTTTTTTTTTAGAAATGATTTATACAGTAACATGTTACCAAAAAATTTGAAATTATATAGACTGGTAATAACACACACAATTAGAGTTAAAAAATTAATGAACTACAAAGAAAAATGATTTAATTTTGTATTTGAAACATATTATTATATCAAATATAATTGGACAATATATACTTTAAAATATTAGAAATTAATGATTTCAATTGTTTATATGGAAAAAATCGGCTAAGCTAGATTATAATTGATAAAGGGGATTTTTTTCAATTTTTGAGGGTATATCTTTAAATTGATAATAGTTGTGATGATTTGACGTATTGCTAAAAAAATTGGTCAAGTGAGAGCTGAGAAAAGTGAATTACAGACAAAAAAAAAAAAAAAAAATAGTAATATATTTTAATATGAATAATAAAGTCTAATAATGTTAGAATATTTTATTTTTCTATAATCTCTAAAATTAGACAAATTAGATACATAATTTTCAAAATGACGTATTTTAAATTGAAGTATATACAAAAAAACATTTTAACCATATATTATAAGTTGAAATTCATGTATTAATACACAAAGCAAATAATAATTACAGGATGTTCAATTTTTTTTGATTTTGAAGAACAGCATATCAGTTTAATCCAAATAAAATATTGAAAATAACATTATTATTAAAATATTACTATATCAATAAATATATAAGCTAATTTTTTTCTACCATTGTTTTTACACACAGGATTTCAATAGGAAAATTTTCAACATAGTATTAGTCATAAAATGATTTACAAATTGTATACAAAATTATTTGAAAAATTAAAAATACACCCTATATTGGATTGTAATTTATATTTTTATCTTAATAAACGAAAATTATTTTCATTACAGATGTTTTTTTAATAAATAAATCATATATAATAATAAAGAACACATTGCATATGTTCATTTTTAATCTTCCTAAGTTTCAAACGAGGTAATTGTAATATTAAATTTTATTTCAATGGAATTTTATTCTTTTTTTTTATTAACTATTATGGTTTTTGTGTTGAAACCAGCTGAGGGAGTACAATCAAAAAGAAAATATAATGAGCATTATAAAAATTACATAAAAAAAGTCGTGGCACACATTCATTCACAAATTGGACCACATCAAATGGTAAACCTAAAACTAAAACAATTTTTAAAGTATCCCGAATTAGAAGAAAATAGCAAAAAAGATGAATTGTCATGTAACTATCGTTATACAATAGGTGTACTCAATTTCAAGTACATTGAAATACTAAACAAATTTCTCGATTACGTGGGTATTATCATCAATAAATGTAAGCAATTTCAAGAAAGAAATTTATCGGACAATTTTATTAATTGTGTATCATCATTTGAAACAGTTGTAAAAAATTCCAAGTCTATGTTTGAAAATCTTTACAATGCTATGAAGTTTATGAGCTACATAGATGTTAAGTTTTTGTTTCTTGGAGGCATAGCGCCGCATCCGTTGATTAATGAAATTGACTTTTTTCAACAATTTGTAAAAAATATAGAGACCATATATTTTGTTGATATTAAAATCTTACCAAATCATATCATATTCGACGACTCAAAAAAGAAATTTGAGAATTTGGAAAGATTTTATGGTGACGCATTAAAAATAGTAAACTATCTTTTTGAAAATAGTAAGATCATCGACATTTCTACAAAAACTGATTTGAAAAAAAATCAAATTAAAGAATGCTCTAAAGATTCAAAAGTTAAAATTGAGGACTGTTCTAATGAAAATAACTTTGACATAGTTTATTCTACATGTAGTAAACTTAATTCCTTTTACAACGAAACCATAGAAATTTGGTACAAAAATATGGGTTTTGAACATTTTCTTAACCCAAGTATACCTGAGTAAGAACTCTTACATTTTATTTTATTTTCTAATATTGTATTTAAATTTAAACACTTTGTATTTTTATTGAAAATAGAAGAAATTTTTATATAAAGCTTATGTTTATTTATGGTAAGTTCATATTTATAACGTATTCATAAATATATAAATATTCAAAGGCTCGTTTATAAATTTAAAAACAAATATTTTGTTACGAAATATTTAAGTATATTATAATTGAATTATATTCAGCGATTTAATGCAAAATTTAAGGTTTTTCCATCATTCACCTTTTTAAATCGCGAATTCATCTTTATGAGAATATCTCAGCTAATTTAGTTAAGGTGCTAAGTTTATTTACTGGACCATAAAGTCTGACGGAGAACGATCTATATGGTTTATGACGTTTCACGCGATGCCTATCCTTCTATTATTTTTCTTTTTTTGTTTGATACACGAGATATTTTACAATTGTTGTACTTGGAATAAACTTTTATTTTATGATGTGGTTAATTTTTGTTTAAATTTACATTAACCCGGTGAGTGCTATTGAAATTGTGTTTACCTGTCTTTACACATGTAAAACATTTACGCAACTACTGTGTCAGTAAATAAAAAATCTATATGAAATATGGTTTTGCATAATTTTTAAAAAATAATTTCAATATGATTTCGCTACGATTTTTGTTTTGTATTGTAGTTTTGATTAGTTTTTAGCGGTCTTATATTTATTAAATTATATTTTATTATTTCGTATAAATAAATAACTACTTTTGTGCATTATAAAATTTTGACACAAACTTATCTATGTTTCACATTCAAATGTGTTAAAATTTATAAAAATAATTTTCTAAAAAATTGTTATTTTTTTAGTTTATCAAATTAAAATAATTCTGTTCCGAATTTTATTTATTTGTATTTTTTAATAATTCAACATTATACTAAATTATTATTTTTTTTACCATTTTTACAAAATTAATCTAAATCATATGTCTCTTTAATAATATTTATTATTTATGTATTTACGTAATAAACATAATTTTTTTGTTTGAAATAGTTTCATACCACCAAAAGATCCAGAAATTAAACAAGATGATGGAATTAATGCTCTCAATATTCTTCGCTTGGAAACTGGGTGGAAATTTATGAATTACATCAATATTATTTATTATGATAAATACTACAATGTGGATTTTATAATAAAAGATACAATTAATGACATAAATTTTCGAATAAAAAAAGAACACATTAGTCAATTATTAAGATGTAAATATACCGAAGTATTAAAAAACTACCAAATATTATTATCTGCTATATTGTTTATATGCAAAAAACATTCAATTGAGTACCAAAACACTTGTTTAATTGAATTATTTAAATCATTCAATAAATCTAAAAAGCTGCTTAAAGGGTTATATAATGCTTTAATTACATTAAATAAATCATCAATATGGATTGTTAATTACAACTCTCATTCAAGTTTACATAGAATATTAGAATGGATAGCAAATAGTCTCAATTTATTGAAAAAAAATAACTTTTTTCAAATTGATTTTGTCGATCAAGATGATAATAAAAAAATTAATGAAAGAATTCAAGAACTTCTGTTCATTTTTCAAGGTTATATTGATAACTTACATTATGACATTCATTGCAACACGAGTAGTTTTGAAACCTGGTGTTATTGTACTAAAAAACCATTTTATGACAGAAAAAATATGATAAATTATTTCAAGAATTCAGTTAATACATTGAATGATCCAAATACTGCACGGGAAATCCAAATTTATCGAATTGCATGTCGTTATTTTGACAATTATTGTGAAAATGTTTACAATAATTGTTATAAAAATTTGGGTTTCGAAAAAATTAATTGTCACGGTAATGACATAGACGAAAAACTTAAACCATTTATTGTGGATTAGATGGGTTATTTATCATTACTGCAGTAAAAAGTAAAAGTTATTTACCGACAAGTTAAATTTTAAAAGTAAATTTATTACAATTATATTTTTATTATTGTTAATTATTAGATTAATTTTTAGATTTCACACGTATAATTTAAAATATTTCCGAAATTCTATTTTGTTTTACTTATCACACAAGTGTTTTCTTTGTTAATTCAGTGTATTTGTTACATATTTGCTACAATATAATTATAAAAAGTATTTCATTAAGTTATAAATATATATTATAAGTACAATAATTATATTTATTATTATTTTTTTTTTATTTTAATAATATTAAGATAAAAAAATGGTAGCACAGTGGGGTCAAGGCACAGTGTAGACAAGGCATAGATGGGACAAGTATAGATGATATTTGACAGTGATTAAAATCATTATCATAAGAAACGCTTCGATGCAAATCTGTAGATTTAGTTTTTTAGTTTTAGTTATTATTGAGGTGGACATAATGCCCATGCACTCAGACCTGTTGGTCCATTGTGCGCACCTCATACCGAATTGTCTTGATTCGGTTTACCCACTTAAGTGTTATCACCAAAGTGTTAATACATTACCAACCATAAAGTCACCTCTAAAGATGACCAAAGAGTCCTGTCTTTCTGGCGAAATTAAGTATCTCTCTGGGTTTTAGGTTTTTAATATCTTCTTTTTCAGGAAATGGTTTATTCAAGTAGTTTGATCTTAGTGTGGACAAGGCTTCACATTCGCACATGATGTGAAATGAGTCTTCCTCTTCTACTCCACACTTCCTGCACAATGGTGATTCCGATACCCCCATTGCGTTAAGATGCTTAAGCAGGTGACCATGTCCTGTCAGTAGACCAGTCAGGGTGCTTATTTGATGTCTAGTCATGCTATTAAGATCACCCAGCAATAAACCAGGGGTCTTGATAAACATTTTAGATTGTCTAGGTACTACCAAGTACTTCCAGATTTTCCTGTGTTGTTCTCTGCACCAATTCTTGGGTAACGCTTACCAGTATCTTACCAGCCCTTACCAGTATCGCCATCACCTCTGCTTGGAAGACGGAGGGGGTTGTGCCCAATGACATACTGACATTTATTTGTGGTTTTAAACCCCAAATTCCAGCACCTACCTTTCCTGATTTTTTGGATCCATCTGTATATATCACAAATCCAACTTTTTCAGTCAGGTGGTTGATATTCCATTCTCTACGTGTAGTGATCTCCACTTTGTAGGGAATGTTATTCTTAAGAACCGGTTGATATAGTCCAAGGGGTATTCCAGAAAGCCCTGGTCTATCTCTTTTAGTATTTTACCATGTTCTGTTGTATCACTCTCAGAGGAGGCAATCCAATTAGTGCCTCTAATGCGACCGTTGGTGTAGTTCTTAATGCTCCAGTGATGGCCATAGCAGCCATTCTCTGTATGCAACTAAGTTCTTTTCTAGCTGTAACGAGTGCTGTTCTGTTCCATCAGACAAGGGCACCGTACAATATCATAGGTTTAATCACTGATGTGTACAACCAATACATAACTCTTGATTTAAGACCCCATGTCTTTCCCAAGGCTCTACTGCAAGTCCACAATGTGGTCATTGCTTTTTTTGATTCTTGACTCAACATGTGATTTCCATTTTAGCTTACTATCCAAGATAATACCTATGTATTTTACTTCCGATTTTAAGCTAATTTCTTGTCCATTTAGAGTAAGAGTGTCAAGACTGTCTAGTCCTATTCTCCTTCTAGTGAACATAACAACCTCTGCTTTATTTGGATAAACAGATAGACCGTACTTACTACACCATATCTGTATAGTGTTAAGTCTCTGTTGTGCTAAGTCAATAATAGTGTCTGGGAATTTACCCACCACTGCTATAACCAAGTCATCCGCATAGGCTTGTGTATAACAATATTTGTTTAACTCTCTAATAAGCGAGTCCAATACTAGACACCATAGCAAGGGGGATAGAACCCCGCCTTGTGGGCATCCCTGTTTAATACTCTTGATTACTTTGGTCTCATTGAGCTGTCCCAAAATGGTGCGTTCCTTAAGCATGGATTCTATCCATTTAATAATAAGTGGTTCTACNCTATCCACTTAATAATAAGTGGTTCTATTCCATGCTGTTGTGCAGATTCACACATAGCATCGAAGGGAGTATTGTCAAAAGCCCCTTCGATGTCCAGGAATATACCTACTGCATACATTTTATTCTATACAGCTTTCTCTATCTTAGTAGTTAAGCAGTGTAGAGCTGTATCAGTAGATTTCCCCGTTTGATACGCATGTTGGTTTTCATGTAAAGGGTTCTCCTTAAGAGGCCCCTCCTTGATGTACCTATCAATAAGTTTCTCCATAGTCTTAAGAAGAAAAGAAGTAAGACTTATTGGTCTGTAGGATTTTGCTTTATAATAGTTAGTGCGGTTAGGTTTGGGTATAAACACTACCCTAACCTTACGCCAGCTTTCTGGTTGATAACCATAGTCAAGGCATGCCCTAAATATTTTGCAGAGATGGGGGACGATTATCTCTAACCCTTCTTGCAGAAGTGCAGGGAAAATTTCGTCACAGCCTGCAGCTTTAAAACTGCCAAAGGCTTTTATTGCCCATCTTATTCCACCTGGTGTTATCACTTTCCTGGTTAGTCTCCAATCAGCACAGGTCACACGTTTGTCCTGTGCATCATGTTCCTGTTCTCTGTTGTTAATTGCAGAGTCAGGAAAATGTGTCAAATTTGTAGATAGTTTTTCAATTAGAGAAATTGGTGGATTATTCCAAAAGCAACATCAACTCTTATTTCTTTGATTATATCCTAATTAGTAGTTCTTTGATTTTAAAATATAATATATGAATAAATACTAATTATAATTATTAAATTTAGTATGAAAATAAAAAAGTAAAAAAAATTTAATAAGTTTAATTTCTTATGTCTTATGACCTTTATTCTATGTCAATTAAATTATATAATATTCATGAAAGTCAATATATTCTCCTAATAAGATATTTTAAAATAAAATAAAATACAAAACCTAGAATTTTAATAGAAAAATAGCATATTTTTGAATACGGTAGCCATTTGCGCATAGAAGATAGGTCGTCGGGACAAAATTTTTTTTTTTCATTTTATAGTACATAAAATAAGCTTTAATTTGATATATGTTTAAAGGACGCAGTATTTCCAGAACATTTTCAAAAGTTAAGTTGAAAAAGTTCTATTTTTTATACAATATTTCAAGTTTTGAACGCCCCCTATATATGGGGAAATTATCCAATTTTAATAAAAAGTATGTCAAATGAAAGATGTACTTATAATATATTTAGAAAAAAAAATTTGTGATGATAATTACATTTTTCGAAAAGTTATAGCACTTTTAAGCTGAAAATTTAAACACAAAATTAGCGTTTTTTTAACTACGGCAGCCGTTTACATGCAGAAGATAAAGTGTCGGGACAAATTTTTTTTTTTTATTTTATATTGCATAAAATAAGCTTTAATTTGATATATGTTTAAAGGACGCAGTATTTCCGGAACATTTTCAAAAATTAAGTTGAAAAATTTAGTTTTTGTAAAAAAATTGCTATTATAAATCCCTCCTATTGAGCAGGGTAAGAGTTAGATTTTCAACAAAATGATATCCAATGAAAGGAAAATATCTAAGGTTTTAGTATAAAAAAAAATTTTGTTAATATGTTGATTTTTGAAAAAGTTATGGAAGTTTTAAGAAAAAAAAGTGAAAAAAATGACAAAATTTACCGATTTTTAAATTTGTAATTTTTTTGGATATTTCCCCCATTTGCGGGGAACGAGGGAAATTATTTCAATGTTTGAGGATAATGTATTCAACTAGATACGATTTGTGATCTTTTGACGTATTGTTGAAAGAAATCGGTCCAGTGAGAGCTGAGAAAAAGTGGCAACATTCATAAGAAAAAAAAAAACACATCATAGTAAAATTAATACCTTCTCAGCTTCGCATCGAAGCTAAAAATTGATAAAAATATTATTTTGTAATTTTTAACATTATTGATCACTATCTAATACACTTGCAACAACATACTGTTAACAATATAATTATATAACGTTGTATATTTAATAATGTTATTAATAATAATCATTATTGGTTGTCATATTTAATAATATTATAATAAAAAATTGATACATGTATTATTTTGTATTTTATTTTAAATTAAAAAATTATACATTAACATGTCTAAAGCGTTAAAAATGAATTCAAATTCAAGTTATGTGTAAGGCAATATTTTTTAATATTTTAATTATTAATGTAATACGATAGAATATAATATAATACAACATACAATCGTGTAATGTATTAGTATAGAAATGGCGGATCGGGGCCATCAATGGTGCCGCTTATTAATCATAGGCGTAAAAGTGTTCGAGATTTGGGGGGTTTAAGCCTAGAAAAAATTATTTCGCTATCCTCGATATCAAGTACCAAACATTTTCTTTTGACTATCGTAGTTTTAAATCATTCTAATTTGTATTAAAATTTCTGATTTTATGTTTTCAACTTTAAATTACTATAACTTTTTGAAAAATGTATGGATCAACACAAATTTTTGTTTCTAAATATATTATATATACCCTTTTCATCTGATATACTATTTTGTAAATCTGACAATTTTCCCATATATAGGGGGCGTTCAAAACTTGAAACATACGTACAAAAAGTAGAATTTTTTTCTCTTTATATATACACTGTATATACTTTAATGTACACTATATTTATACACTGTACTATCGTTTTAATTTAATAGTGCATAAAAATTATACTTAATATACTTAGTTTCGTTTTAGTGATTTTCACATGTATAGATTTTTAGATATGCATAGTTAGTTTTTGATATTGTTAATTGGTATTGAATTAAGTACTATCGTAACATAATAAGGAGAACGGCACCAGGTGTTATATGCATATGATTGCTAGTAGACACAATATACTTAGCTGAAATTCCGGTATTATTGAGGGTGTTGAAGATCCGTTTGAAATGATTAGAGAGAAACAAGGTATAATGTGCGGACGAAGTGCGAAACATAATTACAATAGTTAGATAGGAGAGATAAGCAAAGGAGTTAAGAATAAACAAACTCTTGATGTTTGGTTGGAGGCCAGACAGTAACAACTGAGTACTGAGGCTGATTTTTTTTTTACTGAGAAATTAATTACGTAACTATCTGAATTTGATTATTAAACAATTATATTCAAAATTAGAATTAATCTGATACTTTAAAACCAGATTTGAAATCAGTGACAAAATTGCATTAAAAATATACTATTATATTATTTGGCACAGAAAATGTTTGATTTTTTGTTGTGTAATGTGTATCTCAACTGTTTACCTTTTTTTTTTTTTGGAAAATAATGTATTTTTATTAATTTTAGGAATTTAAATAATGTTTTATATGATTCTTTGAACTTTTCAATTTTTTTGATTTTTATAAGCAAATGTGAGTTTTTTTACATCTCTTATATGAAATTTGTTTGGTTAACAAATTATAATTTATTTTGATGTTTAGGCAAATTTTTTATTAAAAATTCATTCTTCTATTTATTATAAAAAATTTTTTTATTTAAATTATTATCATTTATTTTATATTAAAAAACAGTTTATTTAAATTTTTTATAGAATAAAATATTGTTTAACTAATTAGATAATTATACAGGGTGTTCAGTAAGTCAGGAAACGGGTTTCTATTGTTCTCATTGTTTGTAACAATGAGAACAATAGAAACCCGTTTCCTGACTTACTGAACACTCTGTATAATTTTTGTTATAACTATTAGATTTCCTCTAGGTGTCAAAACTCTGTAGTTCTATTTAATTTATTATAAAAATACATGATTCATATTAACTAATATCAAATCTATCATGTTTCATACATTGGAATTAAAAGTCACGTGTTCCTAACTTTAATTTAATTAGTTAAATAAAGTAATTATCCTAATTACTTTGAAAAAACATATATAACATTATTTTGTCATTTGACATAACTTAAATAGTATTTACAGTTGTCAAAGGAATTATATAAATTCAAGTAGGATAAAATCATTATTACTTTGATATTTACAATGTTTTTTTTATGTCAAAATGTGTCTTTTTACGGGATTGAATTTTCTTTTGTTATAATTTTTTTCATAGTTATTCTGGTTTTGTTACTTTTCAATCACACCTAATCAATAATTTTTATTAAATAAATTACAGAATGTTGATATAGATCTTAATTTTTTTATGATAATTAAACAGAATTAGAAAAATTGTTCTGTTTTTAACACGCTTATATTAGTTTCATATGCATGTGGGTTGTGGGTTGTGTGTAACTTTCCATGCGCCACGTGTCCCGTCGTCTATGACCTTGAGACTAGCTGTCGTAACGCATTCACCACACGGCGGCAAAACTAATTCTGTATAATTTTATATTTGGTTTTCATACCCGTACATATGCGGGCGTATTATCAATATTATATATATATATATATATATATATATATATATATATAAACAAATTTTTATTATTAGATATAAACATTTAAAAATTCAAATTTTTTTGAGTTAATATACATGTATAATACATAAGGGATTACAAATACAGGTAGCTAATTGGTTTTTTAGGACGATATTAGCAAGCATATAGTCTTTATTATCAATGGTAACAAGACACATTGTTTTTGGGTTTATAAACACACGACTGGCAATACAGAAATTATATCCATTGCTAGTGATAATTGACAATAAACACTTCGTGACTGTGACAGCGATGTCATAAAAAACTAAAAAGTAAAAAATAAATATAGTTTAAAAAAACTGAAAAACACGCTTTTAAAGCATATCGAACTAAAAAGTTAAAAATAATTTTTAAAATAACCTTAAAACAATAATGAACAAAAAATATTAGTTTTATTGTGAAAAAAAGAGTGGGGGCTTTGTGCCATATTTTTCGTATATTGAGTGCCCGACGCTTTTTTTCACAATAATACTAGTATTTTTCGTTCATTATTGTTTCAAGGTTATTTTAAAAATTATTTTTAACTTTTTAGTTCGATATGCTTTAAAAGCGTGTTTTTCAGTTTTTTTAAAATATATTTATTTTTAAATTTAGCCTAAAAAAATTCTTAGTGGTTTTAGTTGAGTTTTGCAATCACATAAATACAACAGTAGATTAGACCTTTGCAATACTCGATGGTTTATTTATAGTATTTTATCTAAATATTGACATACCCTGATAAAAAAATACTATGCATGGATAAAAATTGTATGGTAAAAGTTAACTACGTGTACGCAATCGTATTACAATTTTTTCTGTACTCATTTTATAGTAATATATTTATTACTATTAGATAAGATATACAGATATAAAAATATAGTTAATTGTGTTTTCCCAGGTGTTGCAACCTTCTTAATAACACTTATTTATGTCATTTAAAGCTGGCACTATAAAATGCGCCTTCTCTAACATAATGAAATTATTAGTATTGTGTATTTTATGTAATATTTGTAATAGCATAATTTTTCCAATACTCTCCTGCAATGTATAGTTGCACCTAATTGTTTGTTTTTAACTTTTTTTTACTTAAATTTTATAAGAACTCATGGACATTTTTTTAACATATATGTCAAATTTGTACTTGATTAATATTAATAACCTAAGCTCAATAATAAGTAAATTATTGACGTAAAATTGTGTTATGTAATGTTGCTTGTATTGAATGGTAAAAATGTTTTTTAAATTATTACCCAAGTAGAAAATATGAAGTAATTGAAGATTTTTAATGAGTTTTCATCGATATTCTGATGAATTATTTATTATTGTTTTTTGGATGCAGTAATCTCTTTTTTTCTTTGAAACTTCAGTTTAAGATATTTGGAACCATTGATCCTTTTTGATTTGCGGTATTTTTAATCTCACTTTCAGTGGTGCCAATATTTTTGAGATTAATTGCTTCACTTCTTTGGATGCAATGGCGTCTTTGGGAAATGTTACTTTGTTCTGTACTTGCTATGTTTAAAAGAAAAAATACGGTAAAGAAAACATTAAAAAATTATGTACCTTTTAAACTTTGGGAAATTTTTTTGGAAAATACTGTATGTAGTAGTTGTTTATTTTATTATAATGTAAGCACGTAATTTACTAGATCAAAGGGCCACATACATAGAGAATAAACTAGAATATCTAATAATGATTAAAATCACTATCATAAAAAACACTTCAATGCAAATCTGTAGATAGTGATTAATTTTAAAATTTCAAAATTTGAACGTTGTACTACGAGTGTGAAACACGTAAGTTGTGGCCGACTCGGCAACCGTACATCACAAGTATATTTCGATAAAAGAACAATTTAAACTATTTTGGAAATTCAAAGTAGTTTTCTTAGTTTCGATGCGAAGCTGAGAAGGTATTGGTTTTACTATGATATGTTTTTTTTGTGTTTTTTACCACTTTTTCTCAGCTCTCATCGAACCGATTTCTTTCAACTTGACTTTTGAAAATGTTCCAGAAAGTCTGACACTTTTATATATATCTTAAATTAAAACTAATGTAGTATACTTTATTATGGGAAAAAAAAAATTCGGACTTTATTTGTCTTCACGGTGAAAATGGCTACCAATTGCTATTTTTGGGTGGCCGACCCCAAGTAATTGTGATTAAGGCGAGAAAAAAGAAGATAGAAATATAAAATCAAAAATATGAAATGGAGAATTTTAACATAAAAATATCATATTTTTGAATACGGTAGCCATTTTCACGATNATACTTTATTATGGGAAAAAAAAAATTCGGACTTTATTTGTCTTCACGGTGAAAATGGCTACCAATTGCTATTTTTGGGTGGCAATTTTGGAAGACAGTCTAATGTTCGAAATTTTTTTTTTTCATATTTAAGTATATTACATAAGCTTTAATTTAAGATATGTATAAATGTGTCATTATTTTCGGATCATTTTCAAAAGTTGCCATTTTGAATTCCCTCCTGGGGGAACGTAAAGGGTCTGATTTTTAAAAAATATTTACCAAATGATAGGTAAATACCTAATGTATGTATATAAAAAAAAATGCTTTGATCAATACATTNCCTGGGGGAACGTAAAGGGTCTGATTTTTAAAAAATATTTACCAAATGATAGGTAAATACCTAATGTATGTATATAAAAAAAATTGCTTTGATCAATACATTCTTAAGGGGCACACCTAGTGTGAAATTTTCAAAAAATCGATTTTTTTTTTTCCATATTTTGATAGGTTATACCTTTAAAAATAACATACTAAAATTTTAAATCGATATCTTAAGTAGTTTTTGAGTTACAGCCATTTAAAAGAGTAGCCGCTCGGCAGTTAGATAGTTGCATTGGCTACGGGATATACCTGAAGTAAGTTTAAGCACGATTACCTCCCACTGGATCCAGAAGTTGAAAAAGGTCTAAAGCCTATTTATGAAGATTTATCTCGGCATAAATTGCTTGATAGATGCAAAGGTAGTAATACTCAAAACAATAATGAAAGTTACAACGGTTTACTTTGGCACTTTTCACCAAAGCACCTTCATAATGGATTGAAAACTATTGAATTAGCAAATTTTTTTGCAACTTCAATATTCAATGACGGTTACTCCTCAATTTTAAAGATATTTAATGCAATGGGAGTTAAAGTTGGACCTGCAGCAAGAGATTATACGGCTCTTAAGGATGAGACGAGACTACGAATCGCTGATCATCGCCAACGGGCTTGTTCAAAAGAGGGTCGATCATCTCGAAGAAGAGCTTCTTCAGCTCAACAAGCACTTTTTGAGGAAGAG